GATACCCCATTGTCAAAGGAAATGGGCAACAATGAACGTGAGCTAGTATCATCTGTGGTTGTATTTAGTTACTTCCCACTGTACATACACTTCTTGCCTCACATCTCCCCTTCTCTTTATTCAGAAAGATGGCTTAGAAACTAGAATAAGCCTAGTCCTAACCCTACTATTTGCGGCTCATCATATCTTTAGAATATTGTCCTAAGACCTAGTTTTCTTTTCTGTAGAATGTATATAATGTTTGTACTTAGTGAAGTTGAAATGGATTCTGTATGTTATCATGCTTGATTAGTATGGTATTTGACATATACCACTCCAAGATTCTAATTATTACTGCATTATTGTTTTTTTTTCTCTCTGCTGCCAAGAATACTTACTGGCATGTGGTATGAAGGTAATTGACAAATCAGTAATGTTGAGAGGTAATGTTGAAAATTGAGGCCTGAAAAGCATGTTTCTGAGTTTCTGATCTACTTTAAAACTATAAAAACAAAATGTATCTCTATGGTAGTATATGTTGTTTAATTGTATATAACATCATTTATTTTTATCATGTGAACTATCATTTCAGATAGTTATCTGGCAACATAATGCTGAGAGAGGAGCAATATGGTGGGTGACCTTGTACATTGCTGCCCATTTCCTTTGACAATGGGGTATCATCAGAGGGGGATTCACTAACCCAATTCTGGTAGAGATTACTGAGGACATCCCATGAGAAATGTAACCAGAACAATAAGAATAAGGGAGTATAGGATATATGGTTCCTACCAGAAAATTAGTACATAGCAATAAGCTTCCCCCATCAGTCACATTTTCATTCTGTATTACTTGAGAAATTTTTCCTCAGGTAAAACTTAGTCCCTTATCTCCCTTCAATGCAGAAAAGTTGCTAATTAGTATTCTCATAGTTAAACTGCTTTCTGAAATCAATGATGATTATGTGAAAGCCCTGTTTATTAGTGATTTTTTATTTATTCAAGTGATTGTTGTCAAAATGTGCTTTTAAAATTCACACTGATGGCAACTAAAATGCTGTCACTGTGTTCCTAAGATGCTGTCAGTGCAGTTTTGTAGTAAATAGCATTATAATGTCCATGTGTGATCAAGAAGGTGAAACAATGTCAAGGATATACTGAGCATGGCTATATCATAAATTATAGGAAGTGCATATTTATGGAGGACTTTTGTGGAATGACAAAATAAAGTCATGCAAATATTATATTGCTAAGAGAAAAGAAATCAGGTTAGAGGAAACTTTGTTAAAGAAAATATTAAGTTATGACAGTTAAAGTGCCTTCACATTGTAAGATGTTATTGTATCTTCCTTTCCGGCAGTCCCTTATGTCCTTGGACCTGAAATGTTTTATGGTAGTAATTCATAGGTTCTCCTACCACGATTTTCTGATAGTTCTTGAAAATTTGCATTTCATCATAGAGGTGAGGTTAATAAACTACCATAATTTGAAGGTCTGTCCTCTGTAATGATTTCCTTACAGCCTGCACTCTTTGAGTACCAGACCAGAAGGGAGATCTTGGACCTACTACAGGCCTCTCTCTGTGGAGAAGAGATCTGTGTACAGTCAGCTGATTTCTAGATTTCTTCCATTATAAAGTAATATTTTGGGTTTAAATGTTATTGCTACTAGAGAAAGTAGCAGTGCTCTCTAGGGAGTACAAAGGCTGATGTGTTTGAAGTGTTTTTCAAAGTATGGTTAATGGATTGTATGTATTTGAATTCCCTGGGACGCTTGCAGAACAGCAAATTTCTTTCTGGCCTCTCTCTTAGCTGTCCTGAAAATGTCTGGGGATTAATATTCATTTCCTCTCTATAAGTATGTCCTGAGAAGTTCTAGCCACTGAAAAGCATAACTTTTCTCTATGCTAAGAAAAACTTGGCCATTAATCATCTGGGCTGCACATCTGGTACTCATTTCTGTCTGTACTGGAGGTTTATAGAGTACTGCCTCTCTATTTGACAGTTTCTGCTATTCAGTATTTTTTTTAAAGATCCTATAAAAAGGCATTAAATAGATAAAGATCTTTTTAGCTTCTTTTCAACAACTCCATCCACTGTCTTGTCTAGACAGAGAAAGAGAAACTTGGATAGCCTGGCATACATTTTTGTATTTCCTTCCTATAAGGAAAAGTGACCACATAATGAGAAAAAAATCAATAAACCCAGACAAACCAAGACATACTGTCAACTACTTGCTTAAAACAGTAATGCCAATCATAATTTATCAATCAATTGTAAGTTAAATCAATTATTTTGACTAAATGACTCTGTCTATGAAGTGAATTACACTTCTGCTGATGTGATTTTCTCCTTTGTCTTATCTCAGGTCCTGCTTCTGCGAGACCATGGTTTTCCATAAGATATCCTTAGCCTGTGGCTTCAAGAGTATCCAGGAACTTGTAGAAAATGAGTATTTCTTGTTCTATCAGGCATTGAACAAGGAATAAAGAAATCAAGAAACAGAGATTAAAACTAGAAAAAAAAATGCTTAAGAAAGTTCTCTAGATGATTATAATACCTACTAAATTTTGAGAGTCAATTGGACAATTGTAAGTCATTGCAATTCTCTTCACATCAATTCAGCCTTCTCACTCTGCACATGATTGTACTGGTGATGCTATTCTGTTCTTCTCTCATTCAGGTTCATTAATCAGTAGACTTATTTGAATTAAATCCTTCATGTGTTTATTTATCAGACAATATTTAAGTCAATAACATGTGCATAATAGAGCATATAAACAGGGGAAAATACAAAAATCACAGGATCAGCTCAATAGATGGAGGAAAACTTTAACAAAACTCAAGATTCCTTCACAACAAATCCCTTAATAAGGTAGGTACAGAAGTAGCATATTTTGAATAGTTTATTGGAGATAAAAGACTCACGGGACTTTTCTGCCTAGGCTGGATCTGAGATCCTCAGATCTTAGCCTCCTGAGTAGCTAGGATTACAGATGTGAGCCCCTGGCCCTGACTTGAAGCAGTCATTTAGTAGCAGTATAATCTAGGACTATGTTGAATTAATTCACTGGACTGCAGTGTTGAAGCAAAGACGATGGTGCTATGAAAATAAAACACAAAACCAAATATGGTTTTCATAACTAAAGAATTGTTTTTTATATTATTATGATTTTATTATGTTTAAGTAGTAGTTCAAGGAGGTTTCAACTCAACATGATAGTTGAATTGAATGGATAGTGTCACCCTTTTTGTCTTTGTCCCTGCCATCTCTACCAAGTCTACCCATCCATTAATTTTCTTAGTTTCATTTTCACATATAAATTCAGTATCATCACTTTTTTAAATTTTTATTTATTTTTTATTGTGAAAAAACTGTACAGACAGAGGGGTTACAATTACATGGGCAAGATAGTGAGTACATTTCTTATCAAGCATTGTAGCCTCCTCCTTTGTTTCCCCTTCCTATCCCTTCCCATCCTCCCTCCGCCCCCCCTACCGAATCCTACCCCCTCCCCCAACCAAAGTTGCAAAGTTCATTTTCGACATAACTTGTACTTCTCATTGTTGCAACGGGTCCACCTGTATCCTTATTTAAACGACTTGTTTTTCCCCTTCCCCTCCACAAATTATACCGACATCAAATACAGTGAAAGCAGGGGTTATACTGTGGGGAGTATCATCACTCTTGACTGTATTCTTCCACCCTTCCTTTCTTCATTGCCTACCATCCTCCCATTGACCTCTCCCATCCCCCATCCCCCACCCCAGACACTTCAAGTATCAGCTTGCTGGTATTCATTTTATTGGACTATAAGTTTTTTTTTAATTACACAACTGAAATTCTCCATTCATATACTATACTTCAATTAACACATTTGTATACATATGCATATGACCCTGTATATATTTACATATATTTCTAAATTAGCTCTAACTTCTTCATATGAGAAAAACATGCATCTCTGGGTCTGACTTACTTCACTTAACTCTCAAAATTCTAATCCCTGGGATAAATTTCCAAATATGTGTTTTCAATCTTTAACAGATAATACACTGAGCTGGGTATAGTGGCTCAACTCTTCAATCCTGGCTACTTGAGAGGCAGGGATTTAGGCATCAAAGTTTGAGGGCAGCCCAGGCAAAATGATGTTTATGAGAATCCTTCTCAATCAATATCTGGGTAAGGTGAGTGCCTTTCTTCCCAGTTATTGGGATAGCACAATAGTTGGGCAAGTCAGCACATACCTGTCATCCTCAGTGACAAAAAGACACATTAAGAGAATTCAAACATATTCAAGGCATAAAAGAACCAGAGGTCTGGCTCAATTGGGAGACATACACTTTTCCTGCACAAGGCCCTGAGTTCAATCCTGTGTACTGCTCCCACCTGCCCTCCGTCCCCCCCACAAAGAAAGAAAAAAGAAGCAGTTACTAAGTTGGTTTGAAAATATGCTTTCTCTATATTATAAATATGCTTTCTCTATATTTCTCTGACTGTGGAATTTGTGAAAGTTTAGAGATAAGACTGAATTCCATAGAAATGTTTCAAATGTTTGCCAATTAATTGTTTCAACATGTTTTTGCATATATTTACTTTGATTTATTTTCATTAATGGAGGCAGACCAAATTAAACCTATGGAAAGTATCTGTTTCTGATTGTCATAATGTTGACAGAATTGGTCAGAGTTGCTTTGCTTGTCTGGGAAAGTTCCCCTTCTCTAGTGATTTGGAGAACCTTGTACTGCAGGTTTCCTCAGGGATCTGCTTTTAGAAAGCAGATTAAAATATTACCATGCTGTGGCCTCTACTTTTAAATTTGATTAGCTGCAGGATAACTACTATCTTATCTTCTTAAAGAATTAGCAGCTATCAGTTTCTAGCTTGAGGAATTTTTTCTGTCAAAATAAATACTCAAATGCTGAGAAATCAAGATACAATGAATATATCTACATTTAATGTATACAGGACCTCTCACTCAACAGTACTCAAAAGTTCCTCAACTCAATTTCTACATATACCAAATATGTACTAGAACCTTATAAATTTACGTGTCATCCTTGCGCAGGGGCCATGCTAATCTTCTCTGTATCGTTCCAATTTTAGTATATGTGCTAATATGTACTAGAACCTTATAAATTTAACAAGTTAGAATTCTTCTCAATATTACCCTGCTCACGCTTAATTAATAATGTCATTACTCAATTAGTTCATTTTCGGTAATCATGTAGTTTAAAGTAATGCTGTATAAATATTTGTCTATATGATGTCCTTCAAAAATTTATATTTTTTTATATAGTAAACATTTATGACTGGTCATTTTTTGTTTTTTTATTGTTATTTTGCTTACAAATATTGGCTGACAGAAAATTGAGGATTATCCGTGTCCATTAAGGACTGCAGGTATTTTGTTTAGGTGCAATCTAAAACAATGGGTAGTTCTGTTTCAAAACCCATCAGTCTGTCTGACTAGCATGGAGATGTAACAAATGGTCATGAGATGACTTGTTCACTTTTCAGCTAATTTAGGAATTATAAAAACTTAATGACTGCATGCTGTTAAAACTCCATTTGGAAATTAGCAATTGATTATGTAGCACTTTGCAATTCTTAAGGTCTCTCCATTAGTAATGAGTGTAATTTAAGCACATTTGTAGAGCTAAAAGTAGGGCCTTTGGATAGAAGGGTAGTCTAAAAAATGAGTTCTCCTTGGTTGTTAGAGTAAAATGCTGAGCTATATCCAGAATCTCAGGAGAATCTAACTTCGGTGATCTCAGAAGCTCATCCAAGCTAAGGTGTTAATGGTTTAATGTTACTTCCCAGGAGTGTTTTTGTTTCAAAGAAGAAACCTATACACACACTGCTGGAATAAATGGCAATTCAGGGAGAATTTCAGCTATCTAGAAAAAGCTATTGTGAATATTCAATTTAGTAGATAACTTTGTTTCTCAATGTTTATTTATAAATATATAATGCTATCTGTATAGACACATGGGTATGTCTTTTGCACATATATATAATATTTTATGAATATATGAGTATATAACATACCATGTTTTACAATATGGCATGATAGATAATATATATGAAATACATATGATACTATGATATGACAAGATAAAATATGATTTGATTCTTTGGTCTTTCTGGGGATTCTAGAGAATGTTTCACTGTACTTAAAGAAGACTTGAAAATTCCTTTGTGGGTAGTCAGAGATAGAATGAGTAGGCTTTGTTGACTATACACTTTTACTGTTTTTTCATGACAGCATGGTTAACGCTATGCATGAATTGTAAGTATTCAGCAAACACTGAGGAGACCCACAATGATGTCTGCAGCTCTTTTTCTACATACCTATTTCATATCTAGAACACTGTGATGTATCTTCCAGCCAACTCTAGGTCCCAATAGGCTCTGACACTATTATTTTCCTGGGTTGAGTAGCTTGTAGCATTGTTTCCTGCTGCATGTGATTTTAAAAAAGCTACAAGTAAACTATGTAAGGGAAACTAATATGTAGGGTTTTTTTTCCTCAAAGGAATGCTTTGTAACTTATTCCATGTAAAATAAATTCAGAATTTGTGACAGCTTCCTAAAATAGAAAACAATAACTTTTATGTAATCTAATAATACTATTTTTGAAAATAAAAATGCAATTGACTTGGAGGTTCAAAAGAACCATGTTACAGGGTTGGGGAGGTGGCTCAGTGGTAGAGTGCTTGTCTTGCACTCAGGAGGCCTTGGGTTCGATTCTTCAGCACCACATAAGCAAACAGAAAAAAGCCAGAAGTGGTGCTGTGGCTCAGGTGGTAGAGCGCTAGCCTTGAGCTGAAGAGCTGAGGGACAGCGCCCAGGCCCAGAGTTCAGGCCCCACGACTGGACCCCCCCAAAATAAAAAAGAACCATGTTGCGTGCAAGTTTTACTCCAAGTTATATACTGGCAGTCAAACATGGTTTTTGAAGTTAACTCAATGCATCTTCTAGCTATCATAGAGATTATGTGTATTTATTTTTGTAGTTCACTTTGCACATTTTTTTCCAAAGACAAAACAAAACCTGAATGATGTTTGCCTTAGTTCTTTGCTTCCTGGGCTTCAGGTTAAAATGCTTCACTATTGGTATCTGAGTTCTTTGTCTTGTTTGTCTTATGTGATTGCCTGGAACTTAGCTGGCTTTATTCCTCTTCTGACCCTACTTCTGTCTTTAAAGCAGTTGATTTCCATTGCAGGAAACAATATACTCTCAGTGAATGCTTGAGTTGTTCAGTCAAAGCCAAACACTTGGCTTTGCAGTGTTTGCAGTTTGTGAAGATCTCCATTTTTCTCAGATCTCTAGAAATCAAATCAGTTCTTGTATGCACATAGTTATTGAGTCTTTGTCATCTTCTGATAAGAATATCCTCCTTGAGTCTCATGTAAACACAATGGAATTCTACTCAGACATTGGAAAGAATAATATTGTAAGGAAATTATATTTGTAAGGAAATGGAAAGACTTGGAAAAATTATATTAAATGAAGTAAGCCAGACCCAGAGAAATATAGGTTTCATGGTTTCCCTCATTTGTTGTATGTAATGAAAATGTTCCTATACATCTACAAATAAACACACTGGATGGTAAAAGACAAAAAATGCACTAGGGCATGATACATTTTCTGTGTTTTCTATAAGGTTTACTTCTTTGGGATGAAGCCAGAACAGACTGACAATTTTCTTTTACGCATCTTCTAAACTTCACATTTTTCTGTTTCTTGAACTTTCTGAGTCCACAGATCAAATGTTAACTCAAACAATGTGGAGAGAGACACATTGTATGCATCTTAGACAAAGCTGATCTGTAGAGTTCTTCAGGAAAGAAATCAAACATTACTGGCATTTATTTATTTATTTATTTACTTATTTATTTATTATCTCCAGTACTGGGGTTTGAGCTCAGTGCTTTGCATTTGTACTGTTTGCTGTCATCTGGCCATGTTTCCAGCCTAGTTCTTTGATGGTTATTTTGAAGATGGAGTCTCATTTTTTGCCTCCATTGCTTTGGATGTAATCAGCTAAGATTACAAGCTATCTATCTATCTATCTATCTATCTATCTATCTATCTATCTATCTATCTATCTTTCTATCTATCTACATACCTACTTATCCATCAGTAATTTGTTTATTTACAAATTTCCTAGCTGAGCTATGATTAAGATAAAGTGCTTGGTCATGAGACAGCATAAACCATCTACTAAAATGAAATTTTAGATGAATAAAATATAGTATACTTATAAACCAACTAGTAGATGATAATGTAAGAATACATTTTTGTGTCTGAGATAAAAATCTTTTTTTGTTGTTGTTATTGTTGGTTTTGGGGCTTGAACTCTGGGCCTGGTCGCTGTCTCTGTACTCTTCAGTTCAAGGCAAGAGCTCTCCTGCTTGAGCCACAGCACCACTTTGTAGGTGGTTTATTGGAGATAAGAGTCTCACAGACTTTCCTGCCCAGCTGGCTTTGAACTTTGATCCTCAGATCTCAGCCTCCAGAGTTTACAAGTGTGAACCACCAGTGCTTGGCTAAGAGATAAAGATCTGTTAAAGGAGACCCTTAAAAGATCACAAGATCTTAAAATGATTGGCTTTTTTATGTTACAATTTAAAAATGGGCTTTAAAAATCTGTTAAATGATTGATGTATGTGTTGTTTGAAAAACCATATATTCAATTAGAATTGCATGCACTATATATTCAGTTAAAAAGTCAATAAATTCAATCATCAAATAGGCTAAGAATATTAGTAGTTAATTTATAACAGAATAAAACAAAATTATCTGCCCACAAACGTAAGAAATGATTTAACTAACAATCAGCAAAATGTGAGTTAAATATTTAGGCAATATTTTATAATACAGCTTTTAAAATATAAAATGACAATATTAATGGTTAATGAGAATATGAAGCAACCAGAAAGCTCATAAATAGTGAGTAGAGTCAATAATAGTGCAATGATTTAGGAAAATGATGGAACAACTTAAAGATATGTGTATTTTTCCAGGGGAGTAATTCACAAACACCGAAGTTAGAGAAATATGTATTTTAGGAATTCATTGAAACACATTGCTCTGTTATTGTCAACATAATAATGAATATAAATTCAATTCATCAGTAGAACATTTTGTAAATAGCTGAAAACTGAAAACTACTTTAATGTCCATCAAAGGAAAGGAATGAATGTAAATTGTGGTGTGGGTACGTGATGTAAAATCTATTGATCCACATATACTGTAGTTTCAGTAAACAAGACTTTTTTAAATAAAATTTATATTTAAAGAGAAAGGATATTTGCAGAAGGAAATGTGAAGATAGAACATTTATAAAACTTAGGACAATGTTTCATATACCTTTGTGTTTGTGTGTGTGTGTGTGTGTGTGTGTGTGTGTGTGTATTAATGTTTGGTAGAATATGGAAACACACTGGAATAAAAATACAGAATTAATATATTATTTCATTTTAGGAGCTATGCGCTAAAAAGACTATCCAAGATGATATTAAAATAAGTTTAAATAAATATCAAATATTAAAATATATTGAGGATGTAAAAGTATATAAGGTATATTTTATATTTTCTCTCCTTTGGCATTTTCTTAAAATATATCACAAATCTTTAAACTTGTTTGGTTTTAATATGTTTATAGCTAAAGATAATAATTCTTTTTTTTTTTTTGGGTCCGGTCGTGGGGCCTGAACTCTGGGCCTGGGCACTGTCCCTCAGCTCTTCAGCTCAAGGCTAGCGCTCTACCACTTGAGCCACAGCGCCACTTCTGACTTTTTTCTTTTTGCTTATGTGGTGCTGAGGAATCGAACCCAGGGCCTCGAGCATGCAAGGCAAGCGCTCTACCACTGAGCCACCTTCCCAGCCCAAGATAATAATTCTTATATGTACTACGTTTGAATTTTTCTTTCCCCTTTGGCTTGCCTCAAGAATTTGGCTAAAGATGTATTTTATTTTGAATTAAGCCCATCCTATATAAATTAACCAGTGGGAGACAAGACTTTATTTTTATTTCTTCTTTTCAAATTTTGACACATAATTTATATTGTATTTAATGTGTATCATATGATGTTAATGTTTCTGATAAGGAAGAGTCACTTA